GCCCTGCCTGGCCCTGGACTTTAGCCATGGTGGGAAGGACCATACACCATAATACTCACTACCCCATCTGCAGTCAAACTGGTTGGACTGACGGGGTGGTATCATCTGACGCGGGTCAAGCAAGCCCCTTTAAAACTGGGTCCTGACAGAAACGTGGACCTCCAACTGTATAAACTCCACTACCCTCCACCTGACCATAACCACACCTAAATAAGTGTAACATGTGGCTTCCTTATAACCCTCTTTGTTCCTTTATTAAGTATGCTGGCAGTAGGACTCGCAACAACTGCTCCAGACGATTTGGACCCTTGGCCAAAGGGTTGCTTTGGGGCTTTGCTATGTTGGGCTTTGTGTCTTTTTCTTCCTCATCAGGTGTTGGCTTTTGTAAACACATACTGCTGCCCAGCTACCGACGGCAGTTCATACCGAAACCTGGGTTGATAGTTCAGGAACCCTTTCGCAGGTTATCAGCAAAGAGTACTGTCAGCTTGAAGGCTGCCAATCTCTGATATTGGTGCCTGTACAACGCTTTCACTGCACTCCCCCAAGGTGGTCTTATCCCCTCCTCTGTTTCCGGTATGACCAAAGCAAATCCAGTGGTTGCAACACTGAGTGGGTAAAAGAAAATGGAGGTTGCTTCTGGAATTCCTGCGTAATGCACAAATACTAAATGGATCTAGAAGGAAAATGGTTTAAAAAAAAATCGCCTCACCGGTAACCATCATAATAGTACCTTTTGGATTAACATCCCTGACCCATGGGACACTCGCTGGCAAAATGGTGGCCCAGGAAAAATCTACCAATATCCTGGTTCCTTCTACCCTTGTCAGTCTATACATACCTGTCGTGTGTATGTGCACACTAACCTTGCTGACCAGACCCAGCTAATACAGCAAGCCCAAGAGGAACTTCAGGAACAGGTTATAGGACAGAAGTCCAGGGGAAAACCTTTCTCATGGCTCACCCTTATCCTGGAAGGGGCAGCCCTTCTCAATAATTCCGACCTAGTTAACCTTTCCTCTTGTTTCCTTTCCGCTGCCCTCCAGAGGTCTCCTCTGGCAGCAGTACCTCTACTCAACTGTTCAATTGCACTGGAGAGGCATGCGCCTTTCCACCAGTGGTTGGATTCCCCCTGTTCAGTAATCCGTTTATGCAAAAATGGCTGTTTTGCTCCTCCGACCCGGGACGAAGTAACAATACTGCAAGTAACCTTACTTTCTCCCTCAAGGCCCCCCAGGAGGATTTTTTGGGTGCAATGGCACCCTAACAAAAAACCTTTCCACTCCTTCCCCATCCCATTTGTGTATGCTGGTCACTCTAGTTCCCCAGCTAACTATGTATACAGTCCCTGAAGTAACTGCCTTACAAAATCCCTCCTACAGCACACTCAGACAAAAACGGGCAGTCTTCCTCCCTGCCTTGGTGGGTTTAGCGCTAGCCTCTTCCCTGGTTGGCTCGGAAATAGGGGCAGGAGCCTTGTTCCACTCTCTGAGCTCTTCACAAAGCTGGCCCTCTAAACTGCAAGAAGCGATTGAAGACACTGGGTTATCTTTAAATCTCTGACAGCACCAAATAACATCCGTAGACCGAGTAGCCTTACAGAACAGAAGGGCCTTAGACCTCTTGATGGCCAGTAAAGTGGGAACTTGTATGTATTTAAATGAGGAATGCTGTTACTATATCAACAGCATGCAGGGTTGGTAGAAACCACTATTTCCAGACTGCGAACTGGGAAAAAAAATCAGTGGCCAAAGCCCTGGCTTGCAACAAGGAACTTGGTGGTTTAACCCGCTCAACGGCTGGGTAGCCCTGCTAGTAACTCCTTTAATTACTACTTCTGTCCTACTCCTGGTTCCGTGCTTATTAAAAATTGTGCACAAATGAATGCAAGAAATTTCTCATATTGCTGTTAACCAGATGTTATTGCACCCTTACAGTCACCTATCTCAGGAGCCAGACAATCCCGACCTGTAAGTCCCTCCCATGTCGCCAAAATATCAGCAGGAAGTAGCCATAAGTCATCTCCCCTATTACCAAACAGTTGGGAATGTCTGGCCGGATCAATATCTGGTCAGTTCCTAGTGGCCATAGTGACTGACCACTGAACTTCCCCCCACCCCCTTGCGAAGCTGACCAGTGCTGGCTGATGCAACTCTCTCCTGATCTTGCATTTAACACCACGTGAGCGCAGACCACCCGGAACCAGGAAGACACCTCTGCTTGGCCAGAAACCCGGACATGCCTGTATCCAATCCCTGACTACTTTTCCTTATACGGGCTCAAAGCAGCTCAGCTACATGTTCCCCAGCAATTTAAGCACCACCCCTGTAGCCTGGGGTGCAACTCCCTCAGCCTGGATGCTGTGGACTGTGGGACCTCGCCCAGGCTGGGTTTTTCTCCCTAATAAAGCCTGTTTACTTAAAATTTGACTGATTTGCTATCTGGCGTCTAACTTAACCCTGGTCGACCTTGAGTTGGTTTGATTTATTCTAGCTTTCCTTCAAGAAAGCAATCCACTATCCTTGTCAGCAGGGAGTGAGACCTATGGGACAGACCATATAGTCTGATGGTTCTGTATGGTTGATGCTCTCAGGGAGATAAATTCTAAGCAGTTGACAGCACAGTGAGTTAGCAAGCAGGAGACAACCTGGGGAAAAATTTTGTATCCCACAAATGATGAAAATTCCAAGATCTAATTTTAGCAGTAGTATCTTTATAATGCATTTTGAGGTAAATTTTGGAGTACTTGCATACCTAAAAAGTGGCAAATTCACAAGATACTTCAGCACTTTAGGATTTTATCTTCTTCCTATCAAGGCTTTTGTTGAATAATTTTGTCATTCTGTTTTCCTGAGTAACATATCTTCTCACGAACTGAATGTTTTCCAATCCTTGCATTTGTGATAGTAGTAAAAAATGTATTATCCAACTATTGCTTAATATGACAGTAACAAACCACCTTGTCATTCAAAGCAACAGTAATTGCCACTGATAGTTAAGGTTGTATATCAAGTTGGTCATGGTTCTCTTGTTTACCAGTTAAGTAATCTAATTTGGCAGTTACATATAAGTAAGGAGTGGGTGTACAGTTTTTATTTTAAAAACATTTTATAACTTCTTTTGATCTTGAAATTCCAATCAATGTGTTTAGGATTATTTATCATTAGACTGTTTAGGCCAGGTCCAGACCATCCAGCCTCTTCCCCCAGCCTCTCAGAAACACGGGTGATCTCCTAGACTTTGAAGTCCCTCCCTCTAGCATTCCAAGGAGCTTATCTCTCCAGGCGGGGTCCACACTGCCCCGCCCTCCTAACCCCCCCTCCTCCCTCCAGCCTCTCAAGGCCACAGCTGGACTGCAGCCTCTTCCCCCACATTCCAAGAAGCTAGTCTATGAAGGACTGTCAGCTGCAGCACCAGGAAGCCTTCCTTCTCATTGCCACAAGCACCAGCAGCTATTCTTTTGCATGTTTTCCTAACCCAAACCCTACAAATATCCCACTGCCCCACCCACTGGCGTGATTTCCCTGACCTAACTCTCAGTGGGTCTCGGACCTGCCTGGGACCTCAAAATGTTCCTGTCCCTTTCTCTGTTCTCCCTTCCCTCCCAGAAGCTCTTTCCCTACCTTAATAAAGTTGCTCTTAGCCTCACGTTCTTTGTCTCAATCTTATCTCCATTCAGTGCTTACCTCTCAGACAGGTAGCAAGTGGGCCTTTTCAGTCTAGAATAGAGCAAAAAAAAAAAAATCTGGATATTTTCTCCTTTTTATAAAGAAATCTTTTTTTCCCCTCTACTTATTTCTTTGGTTGAGCCTTTGAACTTGTCATCTTAAACATTCTACTAGGGAATGCTACTTTTCAATTATATTAATATTTCATTAACCAAAAAAAGGTACCTGACCATGCCTGAGTTGTCAATGAGCAGATCATATCAAAGCTGCTGTTTTGAATGGACCATGCTTGCTCAGTAATTTTGGTAACGCCTAGACTGGTTGCTAAAAAGACTGATGAAAAGTTTGAGCCAACAATTTTAATACAACGCTTTGCTTGCTGAGAGTAACCTGTTAGATTAAAATGAAAAGTGTCTGCAGCCATCCACTATTTACTGAGGCATGTTTAAACATTTTGTTTTGCATAAATTTATGCACATTTGAACAGGAACCCTAGTATTAATACTTTTTCTTGAACTTTCATATGTAGATATAAATCCATGTACTTCAGCATGATGTTTTCCTATTGTAATTTAATTTGCCTGGTGTGCCTGATGAGTCCTAAGCTTCTCTGATTACATTTCTGAAAAGAATATAATTTTTTCATTTCATACAGAGAATTGGGAGGGCAGAACAACTATTCCATTTTATTTCATGTCCCCACTCTTTCTTATATCTCTTCACTTGAGGTATTTGATTCAGTGTCATTCTCTTTTTCAAGCACTTTTACATTATCAAAGATTCCTCAGTTCTGTGTGTTGAAAATCTTCACTTTCCAATATCAGAATTATCTATCATGTTTCCTAATAAATGTTTTTTCTTTTTTTTATATTTATCAGTTTTCCCCATCTGTCATTTTAATTGAATTGGAGATAGTTACTACTTACTGCTTTCTTTTAGGCATCCCAGTTGGACTTTGTCAATTTTATGTCATCTTTTCATCCTACTTGTTAACTCATCGTTATGCTCAGTTGTTATCTGAAATGGAAAGGTTATTCTCCAAGAGTAACTTTGTGGACCCATGAATTTAACTTTTTAGCCATCTATTCTTCACAAGGGTTTTCTTTTCAAAATGTAATTGGTTATGAGAATACTTTAATTCAGAGGGGAGAGTGACTATCAGGGTTAATCCCATAAAAGCATAGCTTGAAATTGTAGGGTTAATGAGAGGGGAAAAGATAACAGTGATAGTATTTGTTCATAGCCAGTGGCTGCTATGTGGAAACCAAGTGTCTAAGCACTTTTATATGTTGATTTCTTTCAATGATATATATTTTTTATACTCTATTTCAGAAGAAGCCTGGGAAGACGATGTACTGATAGAGGGATAACAAGACTTGGAAGGCAAGTTGCATCCATCTCCAATAAAGTACTCCAAGCTCATGACCTTTAAGTTGATTTTGACTCATAGCGGCCCTTTGTAGGATTTTTGAGACTGTAAATCTTTACAGGACAGAGAGCTTCATCTTTCTCCTACAGACTGGTTGTTGGGTTTGAACCATTCATCTTGTTATTAACAGCTTAATGTCTAACCCTCCAGCACCACCAGGCTCTGATCTATAAAGTATAGACGGAGGGAAAAGGCATGTATATGTGAAAATTGGAAAAATACTTCCTTTGACCTCAAACTTGTTTATTTTTTTAAAGCAACTTCTCTTTACATTTACCTTAAATGTTTGAAACACAACTTAGACTTAATCTTGCAGGGAAGCTTTGTAGGAAGAAGTATCAATTTAATTAATGTAGAAATTCTGCTATAGTGCACTCCCAGTGTGGCAATACCGTCAGTTGAAAAAAATTGAATCCCATCTGATGCAAGAGCACCAATACTGGAAAATATCCTCTGAATTTACTGAATTTGAGAAAGCTTTCACATACCACATCACTGTAAAAGTAGAACTGCTGGAGCAGAACCTTATGTTTCTAAAAAAAATATTGGAGAGCCTGTAGCTAAATCAGAGATATCACTTGGAATGATAAAAATTCTTCCTGGAGAGAAATTAGTGAGTGTAACAAAAAGTTCATTGAGTATTTGAAATATTAGGATGAAGATAAATATTGGTGTTAGATATACAAAAAAAAGTTACCACTCTAATAGTTTCACTTGTTTTTTCTTTGAAAGGTCATACAGAGAAGTTCAAGAAATATAAGAAATGTGGAAGAACCTTCTGTTGAAAGTAAATCCTTACTCATCAAAAAATTCTTACTGGAGAGAAATCTTGTGAATGTGGGCAAGCTTCCATTCAGATGTCAAACCTTAGTCAGGAAAAAATTTACACTGGGGAGAGCCCCTTTGCCTGTAAAGTATGTGGGAAAGTCTTCAACCAACAATCAAATCTCACTGAACATGAACATTTTCATACTAGAGAGAAACCTTTTGAGTGTAATGAATGTGGAAAAACTTTTAGTCAAAAGCAGTATGTCATTAAACATCAGAACACTCATACTGGGGAGAAGCTTTTTGAGTGTAGTGAATGTGGAAAATCCTTCAGCCAGAAGGAAAATCTCCTTACCCATCAGAAAATTCACACTGGAGAGAAACCTTTTCAGTGTAAGGATTGTGGGAAAGCTTTCATTCAGAAGTCAAACCTCATCAGACACCAGAGAACTCACACAGGAGAGAAACCTTTTGCATGTAAGGAGTGTGGGAAAACCTTCAGTGGCAAATCAAACCTTACGGAGCATGAGAAAATTCATATTGGAGAAAAACCTTTTAAATGTAATGAATGTGGAACAGCTTTTGGCCAAAAGAAGTACCTCATAAAACATCAAAATATTCACACTGGAGAGAAACCCTATGAATGTAATGAATGTGGAAAAGCTTTCTCTCAAAGAACATCACTTATTGTACATGTGAGAATTCATTCGGGTGATAAACCTTATGAATGTAATGTATGTGGAAAAGCTTTCTCTCAAAGTTCATCTCTTACTGTGCATGTGAGAAGCCATACAGGTGAGAAACCATATGGTTGTAATGAATGTGGAAAAGCCTTCTCTCAGTTTTCAACCCTTGCTCTACATTTGAGAATACACACAGGTAAGAAGCCTTATAAATGTAGTGAATGTGGGAAAGCTTTCAGCCAAAAGTCACACCACATTAGACACCAGAAAATTCATACTAACTAAAACCATTGAAAGTGGGCAGTTTTTACCAGAAAGTTACACTTAATAGCACACCAGAAATAATTATTCTGATGGAAAGCACCACAAAATGAGAGAAACTTTAACAATAGCTTAAATTTTTTTACTGGACTACTGGGAGTTCACAACGAAGAAAACATTTTTGTATAAAATGCCTAATAGACCTACAGAAAACAGCAAAGATGATGCTGAAACTTTAAAAGCGTGTCCATTAAAACTTGGAAAAAGCAGATGCTTATCATTGCTGTCAACATGGATTTGGGATCCTCACTATTCACTTGAGGTATTATGATCATCTACACAATATCAAACATCTTCACAGAAGAACAGAAAGAACCTCAAAACAATTTATCATTTATCATAATTTGGACATGCTAGAAATGCATCATGAAGTGAGATAATGATACTTTAAAATGTGGTTTAGAGGTTTCTTGTGGGGTGGGAAAGGTAGGAATTGATCATATGTCATTAAAGTTAAACTCGACGGCATTAAAAACAAGAAAGGAGTAGGAAAGTTTTGTGGATAAGAAATCCCAAAGTATCTAGCATTTCTATTCTTGAGTGTATGCTTCAGAATAAGTTACAGGATATGTACTATGGCATAATTTTTCATAGCCTAAAGTTGGAAGCCACTTAATTCAGATCAGGAATGAAATAGAAAAATCTTAATGGAATATGTATCTGTAAAATGCAACAAGGTTTCTATATAGTAAAAGAGATCTTAAAAATCCCGTAGAGGGAGAAAAATTGCAGAATGATGTATTTAGTGTTAATGACATTTTTGTAATGTTTAAAACTTTCCCTCAAAATTCAATACTATATATTGATAACGGATGAATATATGTATGTATATATTTAAAAACTGGATTGGAAGGATATTGATAGGCAGGGTTGCCTGTGAAGAGTGGCTAAAGGAAAGAAAGGAATGTGGACAGTGGGATGGGGATTGTCTAATGAAGACTTCAGGTTTATATATGTAAACATCCATTTCTCTTAAAAATGAAACATTCTGTAAGTAAATATTCTATACAGGTAGTGGTAATTCTGGATTGTGGTATATGGATACTTTGTTTTATTTTTTGTACTTTTCTGTATTTTTAAAGTTTCTCAAAATAAAAGTGAGGGTGGGGTCGGAAAGCTGTACATGTAGAAGTAATGTTATAATGAATTCATTCTCAAATACTAAACTTTTATAAAATATTTCTAAAATTTTATCAGTGATGAGTGTATGGACTTGTTCCTTATGTAATAGGAAATTAACTATTTTATTAAAATTAAAAGTGATAGTATATACAATCGTTTCTACTTATTATAACAATAGTATGCAATATATGGCCTTTATCTTCATATTTCTAACATTTGCAACATACCATGTGGACTTGAAAAGATTTTAAGGATTTTTAATTGAGGATACATGCATGTATTTTATATAATTTATTTAGAAAAGTTGCTTCTGGAATACCAATGTTAAAGTTCCAACATATGCACTAAACAAAGTTTGTCATTACAGTTTTTAAAAGGAAATCATTGCACTTCCCAGATACCCATAAATCGTTGAGTTAAATACAAACACCTACATCTCCAGGCGCTGGACAGATCCCCTTCCTTTATTTATCTGATCCCTCACCATAATGTCATGATTTTATTATTTCTTTTTTTTAAATTCTTTTTTGAAAGAGTGAGTGAGTCAGTGAGAGAGAGTGAGTGAATGAGAGTGTGTGAGTGAGTGAGTCAGAGAGTGAGTGAGTGAGTGAATGAGAGAGTGAGTGAGTGAGTGAATGTGAGTGAGTGAATGAGAGTGAGAGTGAATGAGTGAGTGAGTGAATGAGAGTGAGTCAGAGAGAGTGAGAGTGAGAGAGTCAGTGAGTGAGAGAGTGTGAGAGAGTCCATAATGTCATGATTTTATAAAGAGTGCCACTTAATATTAGCAGTGAAAAAGAGGGAAAGCCCTTGACAAGATGGATCAACCCAGTGGCTGCAACAAGGGGCTCAAACAGCAATTTTGAGCATGTCACAGGACTGGGCACTGCCCGTTCTGTTTTACATAGGGTCAGCATGAGTTGGAACCTGCTCAGTGGCACCTAGCAACAGCAGCAGCATGATAATTCATTAGTCATTTTGGAAGAATCTCCATGAATTATATATTTGGACATGTAAATGAATCTTGGCCCTATTTTTTTAAAGTTTACATATTAAATCTAGAAGGAATTGCAGTACATGTTCACCATTTCTTAAACTACTTCCCCTCATCTCTCATAAGCTTCACTTTTCTTTTAAACCTCCTGCTCTTTACCTTGTGTAGCTTTGGGGTAACTAGAGTAATATAAACTCAGCCTGACTCTAAGATAAATCCAAGGGCCGATACTTCAGTGTGTTCTTTGGCTGTATCCAAACCTCCTGGAAAAACGTTTCGTTTTAGTCAAGTAATAAAATGTTCCACAGAAGGAGATTGAATTTAAGGTTCATCTGTATTCATGGAGTGACAGGAGGCAGATGATCTGAACTAAGTTCATCTACTTTGACCTGTTTGAAAGCATTTTTAATGTAGATACAAGTGACTTGAATGGTGTCTGAATCACCATTAGTAGTAATTAGTAAGAATACATATTTGCAACAGGAATACCATACCAACTGGATGTATTAGCTGCTACCCAATGTGAGAGGCCACAGAACATCTGCGTTTATTCCCCAAGCGCAAATGTTGCAGCTTTCAGATGTGAATTTGGGTCTAGTGTCTCAGTATTGCTTAGCTTTGTGTATTATATAAACTATCCTTTTTTTCCTCTGCCTGACTGCATCTGTATTTCACGTTTTAAGGTGTTTCATTAAAATATGAAGCAATTTATGGAAAACCTGGCTTTGTAATTTTACAATATACCATTTTCAAATAATATGGCTGAACATTATTTTGCCATGCAAGATAAGAAGATAGCCTGGCTTTATTTAGCATTTCTGTTGAGTTTTCATCAAAATAAATGGTTTAAAATTTTTGGTGTACATCTGTCAGAACCCTATCTTCAGAGTTTCTTATCAGTATGTCTGAAGTTGACCTGAGAATTGGCATTTCTTAAGTTTCTCTGGTGCTGCTGCCACCCATCGAACCTCAATTTACCGTATATACTCGAGTATAAGCCCACTCCAGTGTCAGCCAAGGCACCTGATTTTACCACAAAAACTGCATTAAAAATGTGTTGAAGAACATGGCTTGTATATGTTGTATTCAAACCATTTGTTCTCAGGAACGCTCTAGGGTATGTACACCTCTTATCTAGGGAAATGAGATTACAAGGAGTGACACCTTAAAAGTGCTATTGTATGGAACTGTGGAGTGGGATAAAAGATTAAAGTGTTTCATTTTGTAGTAAAAGCTTTTTAATGTAGGAAAGAGTTGAAGCATGACCAGTATGATGTAAGGGCCATAGGGGATTGTAGCAAAGGACTTAGCATGAGTGGGCTTCAAAAAGTTTATGGAAAGTTTCCATTATCTTTTAATCCATTTCTGTACTATCTCTGAAGCACCCTTGTATTTTATCTTTAGGGGTAATCTACCAAAGGTAATTTAAGCATAGCAGTTCTATGATGGACATTTTGCAAAGATTACAATGCTTTGTGAAGAGTGGGTTGAAGTTGCATAGGAATTAGATGTAGGGCTACCATAAGATGTTGAGTAATTCGTCAGAGGTTTCAGTAATGAAGCAAGATGTTAGAGGTTGAAAAGTAGTACAATGAAGGGTGGGAATGAGTACTTTGCAAGTAGGACTTGCTAGGGTGTATGATGGCTAAAAGACATCAAGGACAACAACCATAAAAATGTTTATAACTGACATGATGTCTCCTGGTAAGGAAAGCAGTTTAGGAGTGGATGAATTTTTATATTTGGTTTTAAACTACTGGAGTTCAAGGACTACGTTTGTCCAAGGACAGAGCCGAGAAAACCCTGTAAAGCAGTTACTCTAACACACGAGGTCGCCATGAGCTGGACTCGACGAGCTTTGCTTTTGGTGATTTGGTTTGAAATCAACTAGCCGGCTACCCGGCTTAATCCTTAAAATGCCATTAAAACCGGCCGAGACTCCAGAATCTCGGTGAACCCGTCTTCGCTGTGTCCGGAGCCTGCAGCCATGGCCGCCTACCAGCTGGTGCTGATCCGCCACAGCGAGAGCGCCTGGAACCTGGAGAACCGCTTCAACCGCTGGTACCACGCTGAACCTGACCCCGGGCGGGGCACGAGGAGGCGAAGCGCGGCGGGCAGGCGCTGTCAGATGCCGGCTACGAGTTTGACATCTGCTTCACCTCCGTGCAGACAAGAGCCATCCGGACTCTGGACGGTGCTGGATGCCATCGACCAGATGTGGCTGCCCGTAGTGAGGACCTGGCGCCTCAACGAGCGGCACTACGCGGGGCTGACTGGCCTCAATAAGGCAGAAAGTGCCGCCAAGCACGGCGAGGCCCAGGTCAAGATCTGGAGGCATTCCTATGACATCCCACCGCCGCCCTTGGAGCCGGACCACCCCTTCTACAGCAACATCAGCAAGGATCGCAGGCATGCAGACCTCACTGAAGACCAGCTGCCCTCCTGCGAGAATCTGAAGGACACCGTTGCCAGAGCATTCCTTAGATCAAGGAAGGGAAGCAGGCCCTGATTTCAGCCCATGGCAACAGCCTCCGGGGCATTGTCAAACATCTGGAGGGGCTCTCTGAAGAGGCAATCATGGAGTTGAACCTGCCCACCGATATCCCCATCGTCTATCAGTTGGACAAGAACTTGAAGCCCATCAAGGCCATGCAGTTTCTGGGGGACGAGGAGACCGTGCGTAAAGCCATGGAAGCTGTGGCCGCCCAGGGCAAGGCCAAGAAGTGAAGGCACGCCGGCCGACTGCTGTCCCAGCGGCACCCGCCCTCCCTGCCCACTCCCTTGCACACGTCACACTGACCACACCTTACGTAGCCGCAGATGGGGGACCAATGGCTCCCATTTCAGCCATCTTGTCCCCTACACCCTCTCCCTTCGTACAGTCCTAGTACGAATGGCACCTCTGGGGCATGAACACTCCTCAGCCAGGCCCAGGGAAGCCTTGCCTCTCTTCCCAGAGGGCAGGGACTCTGGTTATGCCAGTGGATTGTTTATTCGGGACGGCCTCGAGTTAGGGGGTGGGAGGAACCACATTGAGTTTGACGGACCAGGAGGGAGAGCTGGGCGATTCCAGGCCTAGGACTGTTGTGCAGTCAGGTTGGTCCGGGCACTCTAGTGATCTTACATCCCCTTCCTCCCTGACCCCAAATGTTGGGATCAACTCCGAATGTTTACGTGATGTACTTTACAAAAAGGAAAAAAAAGTCATGTTTATGTATGACAAAACGAAAACCCTTCTAGGGTTTCTGGTGGCAGTTGATATACTAAGACCCCATGTGACCCTCAGAAACTAAGCCATTCCTCTCACCCTGTGGGGTAGGCTCCCTGGCTGCTAAGGGGAGGAGTCCATCCTGCTGTGTGCTGTAGAACCTTCCCCACCTTCTCTGTTGTGCGGCAGTGAAATGCCTGTTGATCGTGTCCACATGTCTCGTCACTGAGAGTAAGGCCTGGTCCAGTCGCTCAGCCCTGCTACTTGGGCCCAGTCCTCAGTTTGAAGACAGCTGTACTAAATCCTTTTTCCAGATCAGTATAATAAAGGAGTGATGTGCAATAAAAAAAATGCTATTAAAACCAAGTGATAGAATGAGATCAATTAGGGAAAAATACATTTAGAACAAAGAAAGCCTGTGTTCGAGCTTTGGCACTCTCCCATGTATCAAGGAAATAGAAGGGTATATAGTGAAGGTGCCTTAGAAGCCGAGAGAGAAGCAGTGTTCCTCAAGATAGAGACGTGTTGGTGATGATTGAAACTGAGGGAGGTTAGCATGAATGCCTTTTGGACTTGGCAATACATACTCGTCTATTGTAGACCTTTTTGAAAGCTCTGTTGGTGGACTGCTGGGGTTAGAGCTGCTCTTAATCTGTCTGGTGGTGAATTCTGGTCATGCTACTATTTTAAGGGTTCTAGAAGTTTAACATTTGTGCTTAAGTTCCTTTACAGGTTTATCTACATTGTTTTTTCAGGGATGTGAAATAATCACACAAAATCTTTGGATGGTACTTAGCACATCATAAATGCCCCCCAGTGTATCATTGTTGGTTCTAGACTGAGTTAAAGAGTGAACATGAGTAGAAGAGGTGACAGCAAACAAGCCTACCATTGGCGCATTTTGCTGGAAACCCAGAGGTAGATGTGAGATTAAAGGAGGGAGTTTCTGGTTCT